CCCAGGCCATTCTATGATTCTATGAATAGCCATTCTGAGTCATCCCCTTCTAATTGCAAGCAACCATGAGAAAGCTCAGAAAAAAGGTGGCAAAACGTAATTAATTTAAAACAAAATATAAAAGATACAAGGTCTATTATTGAAACAGAAATAAAAAAATAAATATTTGTTTTGATTTTAGTGTCAAGGAAAAAAATCCATTAGGCACTAAGGAAATATTTCTGAAATAAAAATATTTTACAGAAAATGGATTTTTTACATATATTCACATGAAAAGTTTTGAACACTTTAATTGGTTATAGAATGTTCAACATTCATTTACAAAAATGTTATGGTTATGTGTTGTCTCAAAAATAAAATGTTTAAAATATTTTATGTTTTTATTTTGTATTTCAAGGGTTCGATATTTACCCAAAACAAATATCACAGAAAACTCTGATGACACAATATCCTACATGTTGCCCAACATTGCTCGTTTTGAACCTGATATGTCTGTTGGGACAGAAAATGATACCATCACGTGCCTCAACCTTGCTGTTGTTGTAAGTAAAGAAACAAAATCATAATGTCCACATTCAAATGTTGAGATACTGGAGGAAATAGGGGAGAAGTTAGCATTAGTAATGCTGAAACTGCCACAAGATAGGTTTCCTCTCTGTGAACTCAGATCACATGAGTGTCAGCTAAGTGAGGATAGCTGTATCACTGTCTTTAAAAAGAAATTAAAAATTCTGAGGGTGTATTGCATGTATATTAAGGTTTCCTTATATTCCCAGAGTAATCTTAAAGGTAAAAGAAAATTGACTTACTTGTTCCTGTCAATGGAAGCAAAGTCATCAGTTTGGATGGGATGTTTCAAAAAGCATTCTCCTAGTCAATTTTAGTGTGGGAATGAATCAAGGATTTGTGGATGGATTCCCTTTCTGTGTGAGGTAGAGCATGAACAAACAGTACAAGATGGATTTGCCATACTCTTTCCAAAACATTATCAGTCCAGCTTTGCAGGGCAGGCTGTATTAAGTCCCATGCTTGGTGTATGCATGGCTTTGCTGTCCCAGCTGCTTGCTCCCCATGGTGCCCCTCAGCACCATTGCAATGGCATCCCTGAGACATCCTGTCCCACTGAGACCTCAGACCTTCAAAGAAAAGCACAGGGGTCCCCACCTAGAGTGGGCCTAGAGCCTCTTCAGTCCAGATGTTTCTGTGTTGTCACAGGCTGAGAGTGTTTGCCCTTGACTGACATTTACAGTGTTCATATTTGTATTCAGCCCTAGTTGTGCTGCCTGATTGTCTTGCGCTAACTCTGTGATGTCTGCGTGTGAGTGTTCAGGATCACTGTGAGAGGACGGGTGCTAGGAGCAGAGTCAAGACAAGCTTGATGTTAACATGATATGCAATCATAGAATCAGTCACAGAATCCTAGAAGAGCCTATGTTGGAAGGGACCACAAAAGATCATCTGAACAAATCTTTTCTGAGAAAGGGAAGGAACCTAGATGAGATTTTGTAGAACCCTGTTAAATTGCACCTTAAAAACCTCCAGTGATGGGAATTCTGACATTCTAGTGATTGCTGTTCCTGCTGTAAAAAAATTATTTTTTCTATGAAGATGAAACCTTTCCTGGTGCAACTCGTACCTGTTGCCTCTTGTTTTCTCCATGCCACTTCTTATGAAGAGAGAACCTCCATCCTCTTTCTAGCCACCCTTTAAAGTACTGGAATATTGTGATGAAGCCTGTCTGAGCCTCCTTTTCTCTAGGGAGAAAAGACCTAATAAATAAAGGCAAATAACCTTATTCAGATCAGCTGTATTCTGCCTGTGTCCTAATTTAGGCCAGAATCTCTCTTTTGGAAAGCTGTTCTTGTTTCCTATACTCGGAGTCCTTCATGTCATGGTGTTAACTGACACTGCCCAGCTCCCACACTTCAGACCACATAGGTCTGTATGGGCATAGGCTCATGCCTGGAAGCAGCTCGACCAGGGGAGATGGGAACAGAGGATCCAAGCCCCATTTTGCTGTTCAGAAACAAACTGGTGTGAGCTCAAATTCCTAGAGGGGTTCTGCTAATCTCATTTGACAGCACTGACTTCAGTCCAGTAGAGCCCACCTTCTATATCATAACTTTGTTGTCAAAATACAAGGGAATTCAGAGAGATGTTCTCCACACTTATTTAACCCTGAGAGGATTGAACTCACATATCCTCTATCTCATAATCTTGTCATATCCATACTTTCTGCTTACTCTGTGTTCAAATTCAGTCAAGAGTGAAAGATTCATGGTGTTGACAAGAGCAGGAAATAAGAGCAAACAAAACTTTTCCATTGCTCTCCCCAAGGCACTAAACACAGAGATCATCTACTAGGACTGAGCGATTGCTCTAAGAGAATGATTTGTTTTTACAAGATTTACTTATCAAAATTGTTACAGTTTCCTGCTTCACCAGCCAGGCCAACATAGATCATTTCTGTTTGCTTTCCACAAGCTTTTCAGTGCCTTTAGGGACTTTGTGTTTATGCCTGTGGGAATGTTCATTACAATCACCACTGGTAAATCTAAATTATTCTTCACTGAATTAGGAACAGTTATCCATTATTCAGAATTAAAGCTGTTCAGAAAGGACCTGTTCATTGAAAATATGTATTCCTTCTAAGTAAAAAAATAATGGAAATTCAGCACTTGGTCAGTTTTATGCAGTATACAGTTGTGTTGCTGCTAGTGTAACAGCAAATCTAAACCACTTATCTAAGCCAAGAAGTAACAAGGCTGGTATATGTTTATTTACGTGTTTATAGTGCAAGTGAGTCTGAAGTATGTGACATATGGAGAGGACAGAATAGAGGTAGAAAACTGAAAGTGATACAAGCCATGTAATACAGGTAGGGATTTCAGATTGTTACTTGGAGATATTCAAAAGTGGTCTGGCCATGGTCCAGGGCAACCGGGTCTTGGTGGCCCTGCCTGAACGAGGAGGTTGGACCAGGTGACCTCTAGAGGTCCCTTCCAACCTCAACTGTTCTGTGATTCTGTGATTAGGGATGACCTAGTGAACTCATGTAAGCAGTAAAGACAAATTGTCTGCCTTTGGTAAGCTATGCCAAGTAATTGTTCTGTTAAGGAGTGTCAGTTTTAAGTAGAAACTTAACTTACAGTGAGCTGCAGCTCTGGGAAATGGCTTTGCCAGAGATCCCTTGGAGTCAGCCTCTGTGTTTTTGATCCAAAGCACATGCAGAATTTTATGCTAAACATTGATTTTATTACTGTTGTAGGCTGTACCTGCCTTGTATACAAACACTTTTATTCAACTACTATTAAATAATTGGATTAAAGCTTCTAAGTCAACCATGCTGCAGAACAGAACAGTGAAAGAATTACTGTGGGGATACCAAGATCCCTTCTTAAACAAGGTCCCCTTCCCCTTGGACCCAGTTCTGGGAGTCTTCTATCCGGTAAGTGAAACCAATGAGGAGACAAAGCCTTCAGTTACCATTCTGTGGATCAAAATTAAGGCAGCTGTTATGAGGAAGAAAAAAGTGGCAATACTACAGTCTGCTTCAGTACTTCTAACTGTTATTCCTTCTTGTGTCTGTTACAGTATAACGGGACATTCGACGGACTTTACAAAGTCTATACTGGGAAAGATGATGTTAAAAAAACAGCAATAATTGAAAGCTATAAAAACAAAAGGTAACGTAGCATTGTATAACTAGAAACCATACATATTTTCAAGGTATTGCTTTTAAGGCTTGGTTCACTAAAAACTATAGCTAAATGGAAAATCTTCAACAATTCAAGGAAAGCTGGATGAAGCCCTGGGCTTCTCAAAACCACCTCTCTCTTTCAGCTATTCATGGTTCTGTTAGAACCTCAGATTTAAGACAATTACTGATTCTTTGGTACAAGTAGATACTTCTGTAGATCCCTTTTATCCTATTCTAATGCATCATATAGTTTATCTGAATAAATGAATGAACATCTTTATCCTCTGACTTTGCTAATGACTCAGGGTTTTACTGGTGCAGTTGTATTTAGCAATACAGGTAATGAAGTCGATTACATGATATAATATGCTACATGCAGAATGACTTTTTTTTATCTTAAAGGAATCTTTCGTACTGGGAAGGCCACTGCGACTTGGTTAATGGCACAGGTGAGCCTATTAAAGCTTTTTAAAACTTCAACATATTTCTAGATATTGCAAGAGAATAATGAGATACAGTATTTAGGTTAATTCCCCTCAGCTCTGAGAGTTCTGTGTTCTGTATATTCAATGTCTATATAAACATGAATGTATATATGTTACTATATGTGCATATATGTCTATTTTATATAAATTATACATTATTGTGTATTATTTTATACACATATGTACACACACCCTCTTCATCTAGAGCAGATGTAGAAGAGACACAAGAAAAGAATCCAGCTCTCTGTTTCTACTAATTACCTTTATGGTACAATATAACAAAGATTCTTTTTCTTTGGTATAGCAGTTAAAAATTATCTTCATATTCTAATAATGTGCATTAATTTACAGTGTTGAAAAATAAAATCAAAGGCACCAGAATGGGCAGAAAATTTTTTTACTGATGCATGAAAATAAATTGAAGTGTCAAGGGAGAAAGCTCTCAGACAAGTGGCCACTAGAAGGTGAAGAGAGATGAAGATGAGAAGTAGTTTAGTTTGGGATGAATAAGCTAGAGAGGAATATTTTTTCATTTACTGTTGGAACATATATGAAAACAGTTGACTTGTTTAAGGATACATTTGTTCAAGATGATATTTTTTCTCCTGATGAGTGAAAGCATCACTGTGAGGAGACAGAGTCTCTTGAGCTGAGGCTGGAAGATGTCATGGTGGAGGCTTTTGCAGAGATCTGTATTCCTTCAGTGACCAAGTATCAAAACAAACAGGTTTTTGGGTTGGTGGGGTTTTCCTGTTTTGTTTTGTTTTGTTTTGTTTTCCTGTGTTGCTTTACCTCGCATTTTCCTTATAACCCAGAGCAGATGGCAAGTTATTTTGAAGTATTTCAGATTAAAGAATCTGACTTTCCAAATGTCTGTGAATCAGGAAGGATTAGCTCCTTTTTAAACTATGGAATTAATTTTGTAAGAGGCAATGTTTTTTAGGTTCTGGGACTTTTCTTTTTTCTTATGGAGCCTGAACCCTTTTTTCTCAGGGTCAGCTTTCTGTTTTTCCTTCTTCCACAGTTGATGGAATAAACATACTCAGATAACTAGACTAAGTGTTCCAGTACAGTGAAAATGTGGAGATTTTCCTTGTTAGCAAAGGTTATCACACAGTTTACAAGTGCATTCAGTGCGACTGCTCGGGAGAGACCATGTATTTAGAGAAGCAACAGGTTTAAAAAGTCTTGTAAGTAAGTGTGAGAATTCCTTCTTATCTTGTAAGCTTTCACACCAAAGTGCAGCATGTAGAGTATAAGTAAATGTTTAGATAAAAAATATTAAGCAGTATTCCTGTATGGGGCTTGAAATTAATCTGTGTTTGCAAACGCTCAAAGACTGACAAGATTTAGAAATAGAGTGTGTGTCTAGGATGATCTTGGATTTTCTTTAAGAAAAAGTGCTTCTGTCAGCAGTGGGCAAGTGGCAGTATGTAATTGAGTTTCTCGTTCTTGCCAACTGGATGCAAAGATATCACAGATGTTTTCAATCCCTTCGTTACGGTTGCTGACTAAGAAACTAAACAAATTGTAAGAAGAAGTAACAAATGTACTGGTTAAGGGCTTGTTACAGCACCTTGCTTGGGAAGATGGCAGAGGGTCCTCTTACTTAACTCTGGATGCTTGCAATGAATAAATATGCATCTAAACTGGCTGTCTGTGTTCTTTTTATAACAAGCGGAGAAAAAGACATCATCAAAATGCTACTCCTCTGACCTATTTTGCACATCTACCATGGGGTGAGATGGGTTGTGCCCTAGAAGTGCTTCCTTCTCTCCACTAGCTACAGGGAGGATCTCAGCTTACAAAGAAGAGGTCCACTTGAGCAATCTTTGATGGAAAAGGGTTTAGCACTGGTTATTAAACAGGCAGTTTTGAAGTCTAAAGCTGTGTTTCTTGTAAGCACTGAGTGCCATAACTGCAGGAAAACCAAGCATCTCTAGAAAGGCTTAGGTCTTTAGACTGCATAAAACTTGAAGCAATGGCAGCAGGTATTGGGATTCGTATTAAGCAGGATTGGATTTTTGTATCCTCTGTTTTTAATGAGCTTGATCATATAGCTTCACATCTGTGAAAACAAAACCACACAATAGCTGCCATAATTTGGCTCACTTTCAAAAACAATACAATCTTATCTGTGGAGTGCCTGTCATTGTGCAATAACTCCCATAAATATTTTCCCTATAAATGTCTCATTTTGTTTACCTTTTTCACAGCTTTATAGGAAAGTAACAGATGAGTATTGAGCTAAAAATTAAATCATGTCTTCTAAGTGGAATTGATTTCAAACTCTTATTTTATTTTATTCACAGATGGGGCATCATTCCCGCCATTTGTTCAGAAGGATCAGGTGCTGCGTTTCTTCTCCTCTGACATTTGCAGGTAGGCTGGTCCCTTCCTGGAGTGCCTACACACCTGCCTGTGCCACCGAATGCTCTTTCGCTTCAGAGGCCAGATGCAGGGGCTCTGCTTGGGCTCAGGTCACTGAGGCAGTTCAACATAAAAAGTTTCACCTAAACAAACACAAGTAAATTTTGAGCGGTGCTCATGATTCAGAACCTGACTCTACACTTTTATTTCTGTCAAGTAGCAAGCTATTTATGGTGTATTTTATTTCTGCCAGTTACAGATGTATAATTCAGGAATATCTGACACAGTTGTGAGCTGTTACAGATCTATGAATGACATTGAAGACTACAAGATTAAAAGCTTTAAACTTCTTCTAAGACCAGGTCCCAGCCCATAGCCTGCCTTATTTGGTCTAAGAAGGCAATTTACCCCTCTGCATAGATACACCAGGGACCAGTTAGGCCCATCTTTGGCATTTCTGCAGGACATCATCCATGCCTAACAGGATTTACTGTCATCCACTAGATACTCAAAACTGCGTTCTCACAAGATATTTTTACATATTTTATTTTTATGCATTTATAAACAAACAAACCTGTTTAATACATCCCATAGTGATGGCTTTTCAGCCTGCTTCTTCTACTGTGGCTATCCAGTGTCTCTGACTTCTCCAGTGGGATCACTGAAAGCAATGTTAAAAGATTCAAAATGTATCACAGTATATTTACTTTGGGAGGTTCGATCCCTTTATTTATTTTGCTGCCTGGAAACAGCTGCTTCCTTTTAACTAGGTTTAAAGTGAGCCATTTGCTTGGCAAACTGTTTGTTTTTTTAGAGATCAATGTTTTTACATTAATTTTAAGGTGGTGGTGGTTTGTTTTTTGTTTTTTTTTTTGTTGTTGTTGGTTTTTTTTGTTTGTTTGTTTTTTGTTGGTTTTTTTTTTTTTTGTGAAGCAATTGTATCCCCAAACTGGAGAGCATTTCACAAGTCATGGAAAAGGGAAATCTATGCAGAGGAGAAATGATAAAATTCTTTGGATCAATTACACGCTGTGAGATCCCTCTGGACATTTAATTCTCACAATTAATGAACAATGAAGAAGGACAGTAACAATCACCCCAAGGTCACGCTAAAACAAGGTCATGGAGAATGGTTCTGTCCATGTTGCAAAACACAGAACCATTCTTTTTTTTTGGCTGCAGTACAAAGTGTTGCTGCCCTGGTTACATTACTATGTAACAACTGTATCTCTGTATCAGTTGATAGTGTATCAGCAGAAAGAAGCTTAAGTGGTATTCTGATTCATATGCAGTGAAATAATCGTCTATGCAGAATGTTGCTTCATGTCGTGGTTTAACCCCCACGAGCAATAAACCCCAGACAGCCGCTCACTCACTCCCTCCGGGTAGGGTGAGTGAGAGAATAGGAGGAGTAAAAGTGAGAAAACTTGTGGCTTAAGATAAAGACAGTTTAATAGGGAAAGTAAAAGCCACACAGACAAGTAAAACAAAACAAGGAATTAATTCTCTACTTCCCATGGGCAGGTAGGTGTTCAGACATCTCCAGGAAGCTGGGCTGCATCACATGTAACCATTACTTGGGAAGCCGAACACCATCACTCCAAACGTCCCCCCTTCCTTCATCTTCCCCCAGCTTTATATGCTGAGAATGACATCAAATGGTATGGAATATCCCTTTAGTTGGTTGGGGTCAGCTGTCCCAGCTGTGTCCCCTCCCAACTTCTTGTGCACCCCAGCCTAGTTGCTGGTGGGGTGGGGTGAGAAGCAGAAAAGGCCTTGGCTCTGCATAGGCACTGCTCAGAAATAACTAAAACACCTGTATTATCAACACTGTTTCCAGCACAAGTCCAAAACATAGCCCCATCTTAGCTACTGTGAAGAAAATCAACTCTATCCAAGTAAAACCAGCACACTGCATCATAAAGATTAGATCAGTATCACTGGGTCTGCAAAAAGCTGTTGATATTGATTAATATTGCTACTGTAGTGCAAAAACTTTCAAAAATTTCATAATAATAGACAGTGTAGAAATGTGTATTTTTTAAGAGCTCTTAATTAATTTGTTGGTTTTGTGTAGGAGTATTACCATTAATTCAGATTTTTCATCCAAATGACTGAAACACGTTTCTCCCCTTCTGTATTCAGATCGATCTATGGAGTTTTCCAGGGCAAGCAGGATGTGAAGGGGATCTCACTCTATCGTTTCACAGTTCCTCGTGAAGCATTTGCAGCACCTGTTGATGTTGGAGACAATTATTGCTTCTGTACAGATCAAGTCATATCACAGAACTGCACATTAGCTGGAGTCCTAGATATAAGTTCCTGCAAAGCAGGTACAGTAGTGACATGGTACCGCCAAACAAGACATTTAATTGGGAGAAAACACATGTCCTGCAGCTGAGGTGTTGCTCTAAGATCCAGGATGTCTGTGTTTGTCTGTGAATTCTTCCACAGATTGCCTGTGAGGCCTCTCACTTTTCTGTAGCCTCATTTCCCCAAAGGAGGACTATAGTATTTCTGTATTTTGCATAGTGCTATGCAAAATTGTGATACTACAGATTGTGCACTTTGGAATGCATGTAGAGAAAGGAAAGAAGAGGATTCTACAGGTACTGTATAAAAAACAGAGATGGTCACAGTCCTTGTATTAGTGATAATTCACACAGAGAGTGTGTGTGTACACAACTATATACACATGCAGAGATTGAGAAACACTATTGGCTAAGGTCAGCGTTGATTTAATAAAAGAAATATATACAGAGTCTGTGTTTGGTGCAGAGTGAGCAGCATGGGTTCCCTTTAGGCTTGCTTTCTACTAAAACAAGATTGTGAGGGCAGGGGGAAACAGTGACAGTCAGGTGTCACCTCAGCATGGAACTGGGAGCACTGCCAGCTCCACAGTGTGGACACAGAAAATCAGGATTTATAACTACAACTTATTTCATCATGCAAGATTTACCAATGACAGCAGAATCACAGAAATGTTCAATTTTTTGGGGGGGGTGTGGGACTATTCACATTTTTAGCAGGATTGTGTGTCTATATATAAAAAAAAAAAGTGTTTGCATGTAAAATGGTCTCAGAAGATGAGCACTGAAACAAGGCTTAATGACTCAAGTGAGTTTGTTTTTTTTTTTTTTTTTTTTTTCAAATAGGAAGACCAGTATTTATCTCTCTTCCGCATTTTCTTCATGCAAGTGATTCTCTATTGAATGATGTTGAAGGTCTGAGCCCAAATGAGGAGGAGCATGAGACATTTCTGGATGTAGAGCCTGTAAGTCCAAATATTTAATGATTGTAACTGAGTAAATTTGCAGCATTTAAACTTAATTGTAGCAGAGAAGCCTTTTACCAGAGTGACAAGGAGAAGATACAATATTTTCATACTTGCTTTTGCAAGATCAGGTCACAAAAATGTTATGGTTTCAGCAGGCAAAATTAAGAGCAGAACGTTTTCTCATTCTTACCTTCAAAGTTGGGAAAATAAGTTTTGACTTTTCCTTACTAGGAATGTGGGGTTAAATAGATTCTGTAAATTTTGAAGTATGCTATAGCTTTTCTATGACCTTCAGGTATTTTGAGAAAATTCTTTTCCATGAAAGTTCTTCTGTTCCCTCTATACTTAATTTTTTTCACTTCTATAACTAGCCATTTTTGTATAATTGTTATCTCAATTGAAATTGAATAAATATAGATCAATTTGTTTCCAATAAAATTGCTGTACATACGAAGAGACTAGTCTAGATCAGACTTAATATTGTCTTTATGACTTGAATTGTCCAACGGAGCTTCCAAACTGAATTAATTTGTGACCCCTCTGATTTTGATTGGCCCCAATGTTACTTCTACTTCTGTTTCAGTGATTCAGATTCTTAACTTAAAGTGTATTTACCAAAGGTTTCTGAATTACTTGGTGAATTCTAAGTTTTCAAAATTTTATTTTCCTCTGAAATTCCATTAAATGGGAAAATTCAGGATTTTTCACTAAAATATTTTTAGTCATAACATTTGACAGTTAAGCTATGTACCTTCAATAATGTTTTACCTTATTTGGAATAAAGACATCAACAAGAATTTCCGAAACCTGATGTGAAATTTTCAAGAATCATGCTCTGTCTTGTTTTTGTGGAGGACAGAGGGGAAAACAAGGAAATGAAGAAAAGATCTGACCTTTGTTTTTATATGTTTGTTTTGATATGAAATTTTTTTTTCAGCCCTATGCAAGTTAAACCTCCTTAATATTGAATAAGAAAATTTAGCTAATTTCTGGTAGAAAAAAAACCCTAAACCACATTTTTATATGAAACATTTCATGACTGACTTAGTATTTTTAACCTTTTTTTAAAATTTCAGTTTTAACTGAAAATTACAAAACTATGATAAATCCACAAAATCAGAACTTTATGAGAAATGAGAGATCCTTAGAAATATTAGAATTTAATAAAAATGGAACCCTTCAAAACATAAAGATAAAATAATACCAAAGTGCTTTTTGACACAGTCCATATTACAGGCTTAGGCATCCAATTAAAAGACTTAAAATAACGTGGGTTTTTTTTTTTTCTGGTTATAGATCACTGGTTTTACACTACAATTTGCAAAAAGACTGCAAGTAAACCTCCTTGTGAAGCCTGCAGCAAAAATTGAGTAAGTACTACTTCATTATTTCATCTTTAAAGACTTTTCTCAAGGGGGCTGATTGGTCTACAAGAGTGTCAGCAGAAATGGCTGGGAAAGGAAGGAATAAAAATACTTTCCCAAAGCCTTTTTGTCTTTCCTGGAAAAATTTCAGTCATGACTTTTCAGAGAACATAAATTTCAGCAAAAGAGGAAAACTTCTTGAGCAAGGCACTGCCCAAGTATTTTAACACACATTTGATTTCCCCACAGAAGCTTACAAGGGAACATGTTCTTAAAAATAATGCTCTTACAAAACCTAAATGGGGGCCATGAGGATGAACTACAGACAAAGTGTATTTTCTGTAAGAAACCCAATGACAGAGAGAATTGATGTGTGCTCTGTCACTAGATGGATTTCATCACAAGGGTTGATGGGTCTCCAGCTGTTTGCTCTTCTCTTCATTGGCCCAAATGTACATGTATAGACATGCATTTTCGGATACTGTACATCTGGCAGGTGAACATCACACAGATATTCAGACCCTCCCACCAACACCTTGCTGTGCCCAGCCTTTCTTCTTTCTGACTACCCACATAGGGAAGACTAGACAGAAGGAGATGGTTGCTCAATATATAAAATGGCTGTTATTCATTGTAGGCTTATTTTTTTTCAGTCTGAAACTATACTAAAAAGGTATATTTGGAAGGTAGTAATTAGAGGACAAGAAAAATGTTTAAGTAGAAACTGGGCTTATGCACCAAACTAAAGGTAACATGATGTACTTATTTTATTTTCTCATTTCAGAGCTTTATCAAAAGTTCAAAAACCCTATATTTTTCCTATTCTTTGGCTAAATGAGGTTAGTATATTTTCCCTCTATTAATCCTCACTGTTAAAAACAAAAAAAAAAGAAAGAAAAGATCTATTTTTTTCATTGTTGGTTCCCTGAAATTGGGCAATTAAACTCATGCTGTGATTTGCAAATGCCAAGAATATATTTGGCAAGTGAGGGCCTGCATGCTTACCTTTCACTGACTTCTTCTTTCTTGCACTGTTTCAGTCTGCAGTTATTGGGGATGCAAAAGCAGAAATGTTCAGAAATAAAGTCACCAGTCGGGTCCAGATGCTGAGTGTGCTGCAGATGGCGTTAATGATTGCAGGTTCTGTGCTGTTCGTCGCATTCATGGGTTCCTACTTCATATGCAGATCAAAGAAACTAAAATAAGTAAGTAAGCACTAACAGCTCAGTCCTCTGTAGTAACTTTTCCTCAGGGTTTCAAGAAGTTCAGAACTATCACCTATTTAGCTGTTCTTATTTTTAAGTGCTAGTAAATTCAGCAACTGTTCTGTGGGAAAACATCTAGATAATTTAGCTAATATTTTCAAATTCTCTTCCCAGTTTTAATCTTTCAGGATGCTCTTAACATACCCAGGAGAGGATAGTGGGACTGTATCAGAGGACCAACATTTTTTTAAATTCTAAAACACAACATGGTTGTTTGAGTTTCTGAAAAGAGACATTTTATCCAAGACTGCTAAACTGTTCAGAAGTGCCCTCTAGTACTTCTCTGGGACAGATGCGCCACAGCTGCACATTCCCATGCTCTTCAAGGACATACCCCTGTCCAGAGTTCAGAGAACCCACTGTAAATGACATTTTTTCTTGAGTGTTGGATAGGGTTTCTCACCTCTTTCTCTCAGTCGTGCATCACTATCATGTTAGTCTAAAAATCTCCTGAACATAACTAGCCCACTAAGACTGAATATACTCCCATCATGGGTAGAATAACCAAGTGGTAGATTGATGCACTGACTTCTAGGGAAAAAAACACCTTTTTGGAGTGATTTAAAAGAAGTGAAGAGACATTAATGCTATAGTGAAAAGTTTGCTGTAATAAAGACATTTTTAAGAAGACTTACCTCCACATGCTGAATTCTGATTTTATTTAATTACAGGTAACAAAAGACTTCAGAGGTAGGCAATGTTTAATTGAAATTTCAGCCAAGCAGCATGTTAAAATTCAGAGACAAAAGGTATGATTCAAGGCACGGTCAGTCCACATGCTATGGAATTCAAGATGCTTTTCCATTTTGAGAAGACCAACTCACTAACCAAAATAAGCTGATGTTTCCAAAGGTCCACACTTCTGACATTGCTAAGGAGGACACCATGGAAACTATGCTTTCAAATAACTTTGATTATTTGAACCTTGTTACAAATTTTAAATGACATTCAAGCAGACTGAAGTTGAGATGCAGTTGGATTTTAGTCCGCCTTCTGCCACTTATGCAACTTGCTACTTTTTTCTTCTGGGATTTGTAAGAGAAACGAAAGCCATTTGCTGATGTTCTGTCTCTGAGCACAGGCTGGGAATGACAACACCTTTGAGCTCATGCTGTGCTCTAGATGCTCTCATTGTAATGTTTCTTTCTGTTCCTTCAAGGAATGGAAGCTGCTGCAATAGAACTGCTCTCTGTCCTCTATTCAGGGATGTGAATTGCATTGAATGTGAAGTTTATTATGTAAAGTTACTAACTGTAATACATGAAGTTAATAAAAACTTACTAAAATACGTGGTTTATGCATTTTATACGGAGATGGCTCATAGACACACTACAGTCATTCATATGTTGGTGGAGCTCATCAGCATTTGGCTCAACAGCTGTTTAGCAATCTGAGCTACTCCCTGACTCCCAGCCTGCTCCACTACTCTTCTGTTGCCTCCTGTGTGCTTTTCTTTCTGGCTGCTGCTTGAACACCAGCCTCTGCTCTGACCTAACCCCACTTTGCCCAAGGCCTCCCTTAGGGAATGATCTCATATGTCACTGTTAGAGTCAAGAGAAAATATTCCAGAATGCTCCAGATACAAGGAGGACTGAGATAATGGTTTTTATCAGACATCAAAGGGCTCCACTTTGCTATGGAAGAACATAAATGAAAACAGGTAACCCCAATTCTTTACTGACTTTTACTCACAAGGAAATTTGTACAACCATTTGTTTAATGAGGTGCATCAACCTGTAGACAGGTAGCAAACACTGCCATCTGCATAAATGGTTTATTTTTTCATTTAATCTGAATGCCATATCTTAGAAATGAGACTCAATGGGGCAGACACTGAGTGTTGTGTGGCCTCCCCTTTTCCCATGTACTCACCGAATTCATAATGAGAGCCTAAATTCAGCATTTTGGAAGATTTATTCTTGGATCTTTTGTCCCCTTAAATAAGAGCTGCAAAGAAAACGAAGATCTAAAATGGCCACCCTCTTATAACCTCATGTTTGGAAATAGTGCTACAACAGACTTTAAACCAGGAAGATTTATCTTGCAAGTGAAGGACAATATCTTTTTCCAGGTCCTTTAGTACGGTGATTTCACTCTTTGGAAATAAAGGGAAAAACCCATCAGACTAAAATGATGTTGTTTGAATTCCACATTCCTTGTGGGTAAAGTTGTGTAGCTATCAGTAGAGTTGATGAATCACAGAAATCCCAGGAGATTATTCTTGAAAGCAAGGTCTGTGTGGTACATGGCTAGAGTCTATCTCCAACCGTGAGGTGGAAATGCAAAGTAACAGGGCAGGAGATGTGAAGGAGGCACGGCACTCAAGGGAGGCTCTGCTCTCTCTCAGAGAGCCAATGCATTTGATTACTCATGATGCCTGCTAGTCAATGAAAAATAAGACCTTTCTCTCATCTCTGCGTTATTACTGGTGTCTTATGTAATGCTCTGTTCTCATATTTTTCTGGGGACAGTTTGACACAATTGAAGGCATCCCTAGAGTCCTGTGGCCTGGTCAAAAAAGTACGAGGAACACGAAAGTAATTAAGTCGCCTTCTCCTCTGAAACATGAACAGCTCTGCTGTGGTTCAAGACCTGACACCAAGTTTTTATAATAAAACTAGTCTTTGTGCCAGAATCTAAAAGTGAGATCTTTTAATCAAAGGAACAACAGCAATACTCCTGTCATTTTTGATACACTAGCATTTCAGCTTAATTTTCTTTGTTTTCAAGTCCTTTGTCAGCAAGTTACTCTTTGCCCCACTGGTGTTGTTTAGTGCTATGTGGTGTTCCAGCAGCAGTGATCCAGCAAGTCAGGCCACGATTTTAAACATCTCAGGGCCCAATTTTGCATTCACACAAATACATTTGTGTATATACATGTGTATAATCTCACTGATCTCAATGCAGGTTTTGACTTTTAAACTATGTTCAGCACCTAGACTGCACTTGAATTACAGTTAGTAGTTACTTTGTCCTAAGAATTGGTTACAGTTATTGTTAATTCATGTTATTAAGGTTAATGTTAAGTATTTACATTTGTACAAACAGTGCAGGATAAACATTTATCAGAAATGTTAATGAACTCAGTGCAAATATAATAAAGCTCAAACTTTTCTTTCTGAGATCCTATGTCTAATTGTAAGTGAAGTCTTCTGTGTTGGGTAATGAACTCATTGTGTTTCTTTTCTTAGTGTTTTGGGTTTTGGGCGTGTTGTTTTGTTGTTTTCCCCCCCCCCTTAGAGACTGATTTTATAAACTGATGAATACGCGAGTTTACGGCTCACCTTGTTATGTCATTGTACTCTGGCACATCCCAGCTGCATAGAAGTGCAGATCATGTTACCTGTTGCCGCATGATATATTATAAATACCAGCGACAAGCAACGTCTATGCTCTGGACTATAAAAAGGAGGAGACTTTGTAGGCATAGCTGAGCAGAAGTGTGTCTAAACTGAAGCAATTCTAAAACAATCCCAGGAAACCAAGCTCAGAGAGAGACCTGCTTGAGCAGGAGGTGCTGGCAGGATGGTGTTAGCCCATCCAGCAGCAGGTTACAACATCCCTTGGTGGCTCTGCTGGCCTGGCAGGTTGGGTGGGAGGAAGGCCAGGCAACACTCACACCTCATGTTCCCCACTCACCGCAGGTCCTTATGGGTGAAAATCACTGGTGAAAATCAGAACTGACCCAAGATCTAACAGCCCACATACTTACACCCCAGAGCAGGTGTGCCAGCTCTTGGTGTCTAACCGTCTAACCTAATTATGCCTTCAAAGCTTTTCTTAAAACCTGTTCTTCCCACCTAGCCTACCAGTGTTTGTTAAGATAAAGTAAACACGTTACTACACCCTGAAAAAGAAAGAAAATAAGTGCTCTCTCTGTTCTTTTAACTGTGAGACTAGACAAGGTTTTGTTTTTTTCATGGGTATTTACATCAACAGTATTTAAAAAATTAATAAATTTAATAATTAATAAAGTACGTTCACAGGTTTGTTTTTTTTTTTTTTTCAGTAGCCATATAAAACCAAAAGCCAAAGAGGCAAATGACTCATACTCACCAAATGCAAACTGCATTTATAAATAGATGTTATTCATTTTCTATTCTCTGCCCTCTCTTTGCATACCAGACATCTCTGATACCGTGTTCGCACCCTCTCCCAGCAGTACCCAAAGCAGACAGGGACTTAAAGCCAGCCCGGCCAGCGCCAGGCTGGGACCTTTCTCAGCTCTACTGTGCAAGAAAAGAAACCAAATGCTTTGCAGTAGGCGCCACCCAAAGGACATACAGTTTTTCACAAGTTCTCCAGCTGCATTTCAGCACAGGCAATAACGCTGGCTAAAATTCGTTGTTGCTTCCTCTGCCAGCTGACGTCACCAGAAACAATTACATCATTTTAAAAGCAGTGTGAGAAAAAAACACAATCTAAGTGTCTACTGAATGACAGATTATCAGATGCAGCACTAAGAAATTTTGATGCCCGTTAATATTCTGGAGTGTTTGGCTAAGGCCAGGGTTTCCCTTGAGTTCTGTGAGCTGGTGTTTTACAAAATACTTGCTTGATGTAACCAGATGCACCCATATTTTTCAGAACTCTCTTGCCCAGCATCATTTGTGTAACACCAAGGATTTGTGGGCAAATCAGGACTTTACATATAGCTATGTCTGTGCTCTTTTATGTGGCATAGGTTTTGGATGCCCTTTAAACACATTTGCAACTTCAGCCCCACTAGTATATTTATGTGTTTTACTGGGAAAGTCACATTTTTGCGCCTACTTTTTCCTTGTAATTTTTCCAAATGGAAAGCCAACATATGTGAATACTTCCAAAGGTAAATTTCACCACTGCTACTTTTATATGTCAGGTACTGACATATAAATCCAGACATTTCCCGTGTTTTTAGGACAAATGTGAAAGCATGTCCTTCTCTGTGCATTCACTCGACAGGTGTAATGATTTACCTTTGCACTGATCAGACACTGGGTCCGCTTTGTGAAATCAGAAGGTATCACTACAATTAATGCACACACACACACACATACACTGACTGTGATGTGGCAGCAGCTGCATTTTATTCTGCAGTCTTGACAATCTCAGCCTGGTTGCCTTCCGCAGGATAAATTGAAGAATGCTGTTGACATTCATGGACTCACACACACAGAAAACAAGGACAAAAGGGGAACTAGGACTCTCTAATTGTTTCTATTTTTTCCTAGGAGCAATGGGGAAAAGTACCAAGAAAGAACTTTTGGAAAGCATACACTTTAATTCCGTGACAAGTCAGTGCAGTTAAGAGGTTAATTCAGGAAATCTTTTCCAGCCACCATCTAATCTCCCAGGCAGCATGCAGAGACAGACTTCACTGAGCACCCAGGAGCATCGCCTGCTTCGCTGAATCGATGTACATATGTGTCTCCTGTGCAAGATCATTTGGCGCTTAGTACAATCCTGAAGGAGCCATATCTGATAGATGTAAGCCATGGTTCTAGCAGTGAAAATAAGTTAATGACTAGAGGTATCAGCTAGAAAATGCAATATGTGAGTTCCAAAAGCTCCCATTTTTATGTGAATCTATTTAGATTACACTAATTCAGATTAAGACAGTATTCTATGGCTCAGGTTATTCCTTCAAATTAAGCTAAAGTCCTAGAGAAAGATGATTGCTAATCTCCAAAAATCAAGGGGATCTTGAATCTACTTTGTATATTGGCTGAGAGACAGACAACCCTTTTTATGCTGGTTTTAGTTCTTACTGGGTTAAAACCAGAAGCAGTCAAAAAATCAAGGACCAGAAACTCTTTATCTCCCTTTCTAGGCAGGTGCAGGAACTATAACACAAGTGCCAAATGCATCTTCTCCTTAAGGAAGGAGAACTCCTTGTAGTTTAGATCTATTTCTTAGCACACCAGCTTTTATGAATCCAGATGAAGAGCCAGATTTTACCCAGTGTTTCACCTGAATTCCTTCCTGGGGCCAATCACCCCTTAGGCATTGCAGCACCAGCTATCAAAACATTTGAGTACTTCTGTTTAATGCTGATTTGACCCCGAAGGTGTTGTTCTGTCTGGAATACTTGAGTGAAGAGGCTGGAGGTCCCTGAGGTCTGGTCAAGTTTTACACAAGGATAAAGAAAGGCGAGTCTGCACAGATGGTTTAGTATGACAATGCCTCATACCATCTGCTAAGAGTGCCAGTCCTGCAAGCTGTGCTTCCCGGCTTCACAAACATGGGAGTGGCCCGTGGCCCTGGCTGTGGCGGTGGAGGGCAGATTACACCACTTCAAAGCCT